GTAACATATAGCAATCATGATGTTATGCTCATAATATGTATTCTAACAATCATTAGATGCCAATTGTTCTCATATCAACTCTAACAATAACATGTGTGGTCATAAAAATCTAGGAAATGAGAGGAACATATAGCAATGATGTGGTTATAGACATGCTATGCATTCTAAATTTGTAACAAATGAACAGGCAGTCGTATTCATAAGGTAAAGATGAGATGAGATAGAACAATTACACGATGATAGATTCCACCAGTATAGGCAGCCAATCTGTGCATCGACCGCGTAAACGATGCCATCGTGCACTATAGCATCAGACAGAAATGTTGCCTTAACAGGATTGATGATGAGCCATAACCATGCATGGCGACTGAGGGAGTCCTGGATTAGGAGGTGTCCGGATGGCCGGACTATACCTTCAGCCGGACTCCTGGACTATGAAGATACAAGATTGAAGACTTCGTCCCGTGTCCGGAAGGGACTTTCCTTGGCGTGGAAGGCAAGCTTGGCGATACGGATATGCAGATCTCCTACCATTGTAACCAATTTTGTGTAACCCTAACCCTCTTCGGTGTCTATATAAACCGGAGGGTTTTAGTCCGTAGGACAACATACACAACAACAATCATACCATAGGCTAGCTTCTAGGGTTTAGCCTCTTCGATCTCGTGGTAGATCTACTCTTGTACTACCCATATCATCAATATTAATCAAGCAGGATGTAAGGTTTTACCTCCATCGAGAGGGCCCAAACCTGGGTAAAACTTTGTGTCCCTTGCCTCCTGTTACCATCCGGTCTAGACGCACAGTTCGGGACCCCCTACCCGAGATCCGCCGGTTTTGACACCGACATTGGTGCTTTCATTGAGAGTTCCTCTGTGTCGTCCCCGTCAGGCTTGATGGCTCCTACAATCATCAATGGAGATGCAGTCCAGGGTGAGACCTTCCTTCCCGGACAGATCTTCGTCTTCGGCGGCTTCACACTGCGGGCCAATTCACTTGGCCATCTGGAGCAGATCGAAAGCTATGCCCCTGGCCGTCAGGTCAGATTTGGAAGCTTAAACTACACGGCTGACATCCGCGGGGACTTGATCTTCGACGGATTCGAGCCACTGCCGAGCACACCACACTGTCACGATGAGCATGATCTAGCTCTGCCGCCGAACAGTGCCCTGGAGGCCGCACCCACATCAGCTTCGACCCTTAATTCGGAGCCAACTGCGCCGATCGAGGATGGGTGGTTGGACGCCGCCTCGGGGGCTGCGATCCCAACGGTGATCCAGCCGAACACCAGCCTCGTACTCTATGAGACTCGTGACTCCAAGGATCCGGACTCCTCTCCGGACTCCGAACCCTCTGCGCCCCTGCCGATCGAATCCGATTGGGCGCCGATCATGGAGTTTACTGCCGCGGACATCTTTCAGCACTCGCCTTTCGGCGATATTCTGAAGACACTGAAGTCTCTCTCTTTATCAGGAGAGCCCTGGCCGGACTACGGTCAGCAAGGTTGGGATTCGGACGATGAAGAAATTCAAAACCCACCCACCACCCACTTTGTAGCCACTGTCGATGACTTAACCGACATGCTCGACTTCGACTCCGAAGACATCAATGGTATGGACGCCGATGAAGGAGACGATGAAGAACCAGCGCCTATCAGGCCCTGGAAAGCCACCTCGTCATATGACATATACATGGTGGACACCCCAAAAGAAGGAGATGGCGATGGAACAGCGGAGGATGACCCCTCCAAGAAATAGCCTAAGCGCCGGCGTCAGCGGCGCCGCTCAAAATCCCACCAAAACAAATATGGTGATTCCAGCACGGGAGATAATAATACTCCGGAAAGTGCCGAAGAAAACCCCCTCCAGCAAGATTTAGCACAGGAGGATGGAGAAACCAGCCCTCATGAGAGAGCGACAGACAGAGAGGCCGAGGACGATAATTATATGCCTTCCACCAAAGACGAGGCAAGCCTCGACGACGACGAATTCGTCGTGCCAGAGGATCCCATCGAGCAAGAGCGTTTTCAACGCAGGCTTATGGCCACGGCAAGAAGTCTCAAGAAAAAACAGCAACAGCTTAGAGCTGATCAAGATTTGCTAGTCGACAGATGGACCGAAGTCCTTGCGACCGAAGAGCATAAACTCGAACGCCCCTCCAAAAGCTACCCAAAGCGCAGGTTGCTACCCCGATTAGAGGAGGAAACACTTGATGCGGCCGACCGGCCACCTCGTGGCCGCGATAGAGAGGCCTCTCAGCCCTCCACTCAAGCCGCACACCGTACTAAGGCACGAGAATATGCGCCGGACTTACAAGATATGTTGGAGGACAAGGCAAGGCAAACAAGATCAATCTACAGATCGCGTGGGCGCCCCACGGCTCGAGACGGTAACCGTCACGCCGGCCACAAATTCGGTAGGGCCGAACACAGTAGACAAAGCTCATTAGAGCTACGTCGTGATATAGCCCAGTACAGAGGCGCCGCACACCCACTATACTTCACAGACGAAATAATGGATCATCAAATCCCCGAGGGTTTCAAACCCGTAAATATCGAATCATATGATGGCACAACAGATCCTGCGGTATGGATCGAGGATTATCTCCTTCATATCCACATGGCCCACGGCGATGATTTCCACGCCATCAAATACCTCCCACTCAAGCTTAAAGGACCAGCTCGGCATTGGCTTAACAGCTTGCCAACAGGATCAATCAGTTGTTGGGAGGACCTGGAAGCCGCATTCCTCGACAATTTTCAGGGCACTTATGTGCGACCGCCAGACGCCGATGACCTAAGTCACGTAATTCAGCAGCCAGAGGAATCAGCCAGGTAATTCTGGACACGGTTCCTAACAAATCAAATAGTCGACTCTCCGGGCGCTGAGGCCCTAGCAGCCTTCAAGCACAATATCCGTGACGAGTGGCTTGCCCGGCACCTTGGACAGGAAAAGTCGAAGTCTATGGCAGCACTCACGACACTCATGACCCGCTTTTGCGCGGGAGACAGTTGGCTTGCTCGTAGCAACAATATGACCAAGAACCCTGGTAATTCGGATACCAGGGACAGTAGTGGCAGGTCACGTCGCAACAAGCAGAAGCGCCGCATTAACGGCGACAATGCTGAGGATACGGTAGTTAATGCCGGATTCAGAGGCTCTAAATCCGGTCAGCGGAAAAAGCCATTCAAAAGGAATCCTAGGGGCCCGTCCAGTTTGGACCGAATACTCGACCGCTTGTGCTAGATACATGGCACCCCCGAAAAGCCGGCCAATCACACCAACAGGGATTGTTGGGTGTTCAAGCAGGCATGCAAGTTAAACGCCGAAAATAAAGACAAGGGGCTGCATAGAGATGACGACGAGGAGCCCCGGCCGCCGAACAACAGTGGACAGAAGGGTTTTCCCCCACAAGTGCGGACAGTGAACATGATATACGCAACCCACGTCCCCAAGAGGGAGCGGAAGGCGCGCGTTAAGGGACGTATATGCGGTAGAGCCAGTCGCCCCAAAGTTCAACCCATGGTCCTCCTTCCCGACCACCTTTGATCGAAGGGACCATCCCACTAGCATCCGTCATGGCGGATTCGCCGCATTGGTTCTAGACCCAATTATTGACGGATTTCATCTCACTAGAGTCCTTCTGGACGGCGGCAGCAGCCTGAACCTGCTTTACCAGGATACAGTGCGGAAAATGGGCATAGATCCCTCGAGGATTAAGCCCACCAAAACGACCTTTAAAGGCGTAATACCAGGTGTAGAGGCCAACTGTACAGGCTCAGTCACACTTGAAGTGGTCTTCGGATCTCCGGATAATTTCCGAAGCGAGGAGTTAATCTTCGACATAGTCCCATTCCGCAGTGGCTATCACGCACTGCTCGGGGAAACCGCATTCGCCAAGTTCAATGCGGTACAGCACTATGCATACCTTAAACTCAAAATGCCAGGCCCTCGAGGAGTAATTATGGTCAATGGAAACACCGAACGCTCCCTCCGAACGGAGGAGCACACGGCGGCCCTTGTAGCAGAAGTACAAAGCAGCCTCTCCAGGCAGTTCTCTAGTCCGGCCATTAAACGTCCGGACACTGTTAAGCGCGCCCGGAGTAACCTACAACAAGACCGCCTGGCACGACCCGAGCAGGCGTAGCAATGCGGCCCCAACCCCAGCCCTCGCAAAAATGCGATCCCAGTACTTCGCGTACATAACTACGCTCTAGAAATACCATGGGTACAGGGGGAGGGGCACCATCACGGCACGCCCGAAACACGGCTTAAACCGCACCAGGGGCTGCCGATTTTTTAATTTTCTCTTACTTTCAGGACTCCACTCTTCGGAAGGCTCGTTCGAAAGTTCAATTGCCGAACAAACAATGCAAGAACCAGGGAAGCAGACAAGCCACGCCGCATTACGGAACTCCCAGGTGGTCTCTATCACGAGCAGTATACCTGTTTCGCATACTATTCCACAGCTAGCCCCTGGAGCAAACACGTTAAATAGTCCAACCTTTTGCTTATCGCATTATTTGCATCGTTCTACTTTGATCGCAGCCCTCTTTTTTGCATTACTATATATATATATATATATATATATATATATATATATATATATCAGAGCTATTCTGTTACTAGTAACAGAATATTCTGTTACCCCTGGCCCCTGTAAGGCGCCCGGCCCCCAAAACAAGAAAACTGCCTAATCTCCCCGCAGATCCTTCTTACCACCTCCTCCCCGTGCTCGCCGCCGCCCGACCTCCTCCCCACCATGCCGCTGCTCGGCCTCCTCCCAGCACGCCTCCGGTTGGCCTCCTCCCCACCGTGCTGCCGGCCGGCCTCTTCCTCCCAGCACGCCGCCAGCCGGCCTCCTCCCAGCGCGCCTCCGACCGGCCTCCTCCCCACCGCGCCGCCGTCCGGCCTCCTCCCCACCGCGCCGCCGCCCGGCCCTCTCCCCATCGCCGGCAGCGTCTCCATTCTGCTCCGGTCGGCTCTCTCCCTCCGACCACCATGGCTCCAACCTCTCGCATCTCGCAGTTCCCCCATGTCGCTGGAGCACCCTGTCCGTTCACAGCCACCACTTCAGGCCGTTCAACGCCACCACCCGAAGCGGTTCACCGTAGCAGAACCCTGGATCCCGCTGCCACTATGTCTCTCTCCTGCTGCAGCATGGCTCAGCTATTGTACTTGGTGGAGGGCAGAGCTTTTCCTCTCTGGAATGCAAGTGTTCATGAGATAGGAGCAGAGAAGGAAGATGGAATCTGTTGGCTACGGTGGAGGTACCAGACTTTTATATGATGATGCTTACTGACAGAAGTGAAGGTCAGGTTCCCACCGTTTTAAACTCCCTCGCTTACCAAATAGATTTCATTTAGGATTTTGCAAAAAGATAAGCAAAGTGCGCTTACTCTTGATGGCACTCTATTTGTTACTGTATCCCATTATAGTACCTGATGTTGAAAATAGCATTTGCTATTTAGTGAGAGTCATAGAGAAGCAAACATCATTTGCTACCTCTACCTTCTGGTTGTCATGAAGTAGGGTGCAGGAGGAAGAGGAGTGTGGACGGCCGCTCACCGCTGGCGCCGAACGGGCTTTGAGCCTTGCATCGCCAACCGAAGTTCGATCTGGCCCCTATTGCAGTACGACGTGGGGGTCACCGAGGTGTGATGTCCTATGCCAAAGGCACTCCTATGTGGCCGCCATGGTGTCGGAAGCTGGGAGACGTTGGGGAAGCTCGCTGATGCGAGCAAGGAGGAGGTTGAGGTGTGCCATTCGGGAGCTACTCCGGTAGGAGTCTGGAGGATGTGGTGCCTCGCGTGCCCCAGTGAGGCCGCGCCCTCGTCATGGAAACACAGAGCTTCCGTTCACAAGTCCACCAACATGTTTGGTGCTCGTTCATAAGTGCTTGTTCGTGCAGATCTCATATCCTTGTGTGTGCGCATGTGTTGACGAACTTTGTGCTAAAATGAGTTCAACTAAGTTTAGATCTCTGTACAAAGTTCAACTAAGCCCTTCCCTAGTATGCCACTGTATGCTTCTTTATACAATCCCAAATGGATTATATAACTCCTAATAACAGAATAAATATTCTGGAAAAATCTCAAATACTATCATACGGTCAGTTCAAAAAAATTCTAACGAGCACTTGCAATGTACATAGTTTTTGCAGAAAAGATCTCAAAAACTCGGGTTCACCGATTTAATGAATTATTATAAGTTCAATTTTGCTAATATCTACAGTTCTGGTTGAGGAATTTAGGTAGTTTATTTTTCTAACCCCCGACTGTCTATAGTTCATTAGTTAGTTGTCACTACACACATTGTTTACAAACTTAAAGTTTGAAGGGTTGGTTGTATTTAGTACTTCTAATTGGACTATTTAAGTCCAAATGTTTACTTTGCATGATGGAAAAAATTGTGTATCGTGTAGTTCCTCCACTAGAGCCACTGCGGCCCACGGCAGCCCATGGTGGTGGAGTTCGTCGCGTCCATCAGTCCAACCCCATGGCTTTAGTGCGTCCGAGTTTCGTCGCGGCCATCAGTTCGAACACCTGCATCACTACATGTGTTGCAACCATGGCCATTCGTGTCACTGCATGCTCCGTCACCGGCCTCCTGCGCACTGTGACCCCTGCCGCACTCCTTCCTCTCCCTAAAGCTGCTCGTGCCCACCCAGGCTTGATATCCTGCTGCAGTGATGAGCTCCTGTACATCGCCGAAGTTCCATACCTGCTCAACGGCACCAGCACGACGATGCAGCAGCTAGGCTGAACCCCAGTTCGTGCCTCAGGGTCAAGTACGCGGGCGCCTGCGAGGAGGTATCATCTCTCTCTTCCTGCTCCTATGCTTTATTTGTACTAAGCTTTTGCGAAGATGCTTAAATGCACATGTTTCTTATAATCTTTACATACACACTCTTTCTATTTTGTCCCTCGCGTAGTCACTTTTCCTTTTGGCTCAGTTATAGTTTATTCCATTGCTTTTCTTTTTCCATGCATTACTACTGAACTGAACTGAAGCACTTCTGTTTGAAAAATTACAAGGAGACTTCTGCAGCCTACTAGCGTGTTCTTGCTTGCCGCTAATGTGTATTCATGCCGCTGAAGCTTGCTTGCCTAGCTGCTAGCCTGATTCTTGTTCTGTTATGGGTGCCGTGGTTATTTGAACTTTAATTGCAGCTACTATTACAGTGTGTGCGTACATGACTGAAACTGTATGATGTGTGTGCCATGGTTACCTGAACTTCAATTCTAGCTACTATTCAGATCTAATACTAGCACGTACAAGACTAGACTCGTACTACTGCGTACCAGTGTGCTATTTTGCTTATTCTTTCCTTGAACTTTGCATGCTCTCTATTCTTCCAGAGATATGTTCAAAGCTAGTTCCTCGGAGGTGTATTCATTCATAGATATGTTAAAGCTAGTTCTTTATTCTTTCAGAGCTATGTTGTTTCCATACTTTCAGCTCACATTGTAGTTTTTTTCAGTTCAATGTATTCCAAAAAGGAAAAAACTGTGAATGGGTGATGAATCAACTTCCTGTACAGTTGTGCCATGAGCATTGGACGACCCCGACCACCGGCACCACTGCTTCCCGACCTCCTTCTTGCATCGCGGAGAGCCCTGGTCGTTCACAGCCACCACTCCAGGTTGTTCAACACCACCACCCCAGGCCGTTCATTGCCAGCAGCACCCTGGATCCCACCCCCTCACCCTAGGAGTTTCAGTTATCGAGTGAGTTTCAGTCCAACTTGAGCTTTTAGTCCAACTTGAGCTCCCTGAGATGATCATATAATTAGCTTCAAAATTACTACATGGTCCATGTATTTTATGGCAAGTCCATGTACTACTACATGCGAAGTACAAAAGTTACTGCTAGTGAGAGTTCATTTAAATCCTGGTCAGTTCATCTCCTCAAAACATATTTACTTCTGCTCTGCTCTGATCTTTCTTCTGAATTGTCTTCTGAATACTGATGCATGATGTTCTTTGGTACATGTTTTTAGTACGAGTTTGGAAGGGCAGGAAGTTCCACTGCTGGTAAAGCATACACTCTATACAAAAAGAAAAACGCACTAGGTCTACTAGTTCACTGCTTATTTATATTATCAGTTCGTAAATAAGCACATATAGAAGTTCGATTTGTGTTATTGAACCAGTTTGGTACATCGGTTTATATTGTATAACAATTTGCTACATGGGGAATTTTTGCATCAGTTCGACAAAAAATGTACAATACTTCAAACTCTGAGAGCTATTAAGTTTTATTTTTTTAGAATGGGAGTTGTATGTTTACTCTTTGCCTGTACGGTGCATTTTGTATTCCTGGTCGTTGTAATTTTTTTTGTGTTAATAAAAATGAATTTATGTATTTTGTTAATCATTCCTCCACTTCCACCAGAAGAAAAGTGATTTAGACTCTTTATTGCAATCAGTTAGTTTACTATCTTAGTTCAACGAGTTAACCGTCTCGATTCACTTTTCTTGCTTCTAGGGCCAACGACGGTCGCCGCTCCTCGACCCTATTCCCGTTCGTCACCCAGCTCAACAGTCCACCTCGGTGCTCCAGCACCGGCCCCTCGAAGAGCTGGCTACAGGCCATCCGTTGCTCCGCCCCTGGATGCTGCCATCTGGTGGCTGGCCGTCTCACTCCAATACACCTCCCTCTCTTTGTGTACTGTTCTCTCTCAAGACTGGAAGTTATCCCTGATGTACCCAACGCAAGTTCAACATCATCATCTAAAAAGGTTCGCTGATATCATCATGAGGAATTCAAATATTCAACAGGTTCATATAAGAAACCACATGAAAATACAAAGAAAAGAAAGATTCAAAAATATGTGGCTGCTGCATTGGAGTTACTCTGACCCATGCAAAACTAAATTGCAGGAAGCAAAAAAGAAAATCTATTTACTCAGGGATGCAAGCAAATTTCTGGAGCACAGACTCATCGGCGCATCAGCGACCATTCATTCAACAACAGTTCAACTACAAAAAGAACATCAGTTCAAAAAACTGCAGGAGGTTTAGGAGCCAAACAACTGATATTTTGTTGTGTTCTAATTTTTTGGGTGCATGATTGAACAAGAGAAAAAAAATAATGATGTATCATATATATCCTGTTCTTGTAGGAGGTTCAAAGATGGTCATGTAGCAAGTTAAGAGTTTGGTTTCATGAGAAAAATGTGATTTTTTGGTCAGGATTTTGCATTACTAGTCCAACCATACTAGGTAAAGTACCTAGCCAGTTCAATAACATCATCTCCTTGTGCAAAAAAGTAGTTAAAAAAGGTCGAACTAACATATGCTTCAGAATGTCACAAAAAATATTTATCTGTATTTGTCTTCTTCATGCTGAATTATTTGAAGTAAAACAAAAATAGCTCACTTTTGTGACTTTCATCATTTGAAAATCTACATGCCTCATGTTCGGACATTCAATTTGTTTAAAACTAAACTGATGGTGCTCTTGTTTCAGGGCCGGGGCAGAAGGCAGAACCTCTGGGTGCATGATGGAAAAAATTGCAAGTTCTTGTTTAGATGTTCAGGATACCCTTCTCTCATTTCATTTATGTTCAGGATAGCAGGTGCATGATGGAAAATTGTGTATCATGTAGTTCTTGTTTAGATGTCGTGCAAGTTCAAAAATTATCGATTTTGCCATTGGAGAGAACCCGTTGGTTGCATTGTTTTTCTAGTGTGACGTCCCTTGGTGTGTTTTGAGTATTGTTATTGTTGCTCTGCAGGCGAATGAATTAGCTTGTCCTGCTAAGATGAGGATGTTTTTGCTTGAGTCTTGAATTTTAAGAGGTCAGGGGAGATGAATATTTCTGTCATATGAAAGGACAAAAAGGTTTGAATTAAAAATATTAATCAGTACGAGTTAAAAACGGCGATCAGTTCGTAATAAAAAGAAATGGTCAGTTTGAATTAAAAAAGAAACACACATAGAAATTCAAATTGTAAAAGTTCAAACACAAAAGAAACTCCACAGAAATTCAAATGGTAAATGTACAAGTCGTAAAATGAGAGAAGTTCAGAACATCATTGCAAAAAAAATGTTGAGTTAAAATAAAACATGCAAAACATTTTCTTTTTGAAAAGAATAGCATTCAGTTCAACGATATAAACAATGCAAGTTCGGGGACGATAATATAGTAAACCGTTGAAAAGTTACAAGCAAAACTTTAACAAAAAAACAAAGTAAAGTCGAGTCTGCGAAAACACACATTCAGCACAAACTCATACGGAGATCAGTTCGAGTACTCTGTTTCCAAAACAGAAAAAATAGCATAGCCGGTATCACCGTATTCAAAACTACTATGTGAAAAATACCTCAGCACAAACATAGACATAGATCAGTATGAGTACTCTATTTTTCAGACACAAAAAAATAACACGATGGGTTTTACCTTATTCAAAATTAATCTTAAACAGTTGTAAAGTAGAGAAAGCGTTCAACATGACTAAGCTTCACATTTTTGATAGCTATCCAACGGTATATTATTTGCCCCATTTCGACAAACTTTTGAAAAAATTGCGTTCGAAATCAGATTTGACCGCATTCAAATTCGTTTTTAAATCGTAAGGAATTAGAAAAACATTTCTATACGAAAAAGTTGCGCATTTTTCATAGCTTTCCAAAGCCGTATCATTTGCGTCAATCCGACAAACCATTTGCAAAAAATCGTGAAAATACGTTTCGCCCAGAATTTCACCGTTTTTCAAATTACTTTTAAATTGTATAAAATTTGAAAAAACAGTAGATATATGGAAGATGCGGATTTTTACCAGCTTTCCAACGCCATCTTATTTGCTCGATTTCGACAAAGCGTTTGAAAATTGAGTCCAATATATGATTTGCGTTTTCGGTTTTGAAAAAAATAATTTTTTTTCAAAACTGCTCTTAAACCGCGATGATTTTGCAAAAAAATCCTATATATTTGTAATGTAGATGTCAAGAGCTTTCCAACGATATATTACACGCCCCATTCCGAAGAAAAGACATTCAGTTCGATGAGATGAAAATCATCAGTACAACCACGTGAAACCATCAGTTCAAGTAGGGTAACAGAATAATATTCTGTTACGCGAAACAGAATAGCCCAGATGTGTATATATATATATATATATATATATATATATATATATATATATATATGTTCCTTAACGACATATTGCACCCGTACACTTCGGTATGGCCTAAATACGCCAGGGGCTTTAGTACCCCTCAATATGGTGTGAGAAGTCCGAACACTTTAACAAGTGCGGCACCCCGAACTTATAGCATTATATGCATCGGCTCCGAATCATGTCATGAGTCAATAGTTGGGTTTGCCGGCTCCTATGTTTTGGTGCCTTACGTTCCGCTATATCGGCTAAGGTAGCACTAGGAGAACCACTACGATTGTGCCCCAGTTGAGCTGGGTCGAGCACCTCAGTGGAGAAAGTTAAAACTGATTGTCATGATGAAGCGAGAGCTGGTCGCTGTTCGAGAGGTTTTTCGAGTCCCTAAAGACTTATGCCGCTCAGAGCGAGGAGCCGGCTTTGTCCGGCCAAGGCGTGGATAGCACCCCGAACTTGGTCTTCTGAATACCAAGGGCTTCGCCGAAATTTAAAATTATAGAATTCTATGGCTAAGTGAGAGTGTTCACGCATTATAGTCCGATTGCCTTGTTCGTTGGGCTGAGCGCCTCCCTCGAAGGACCCAAACATGGGAAAAAGAGCGCTCAGGTTTATCCCCGAACACCCCAGCACTAGCGGCACGGG